AATACCTTTGCTAAATGATGGCAAAATCTCTTAAATAACATTTAATTTTTAGAAATAATAAACCAATAAGCTATGGCCATCATCTTTATTTTTTCCCTAGCTTTATTAAGGTATAATTGACAAATAAAAATTGTGTATATTTATGGTGTACAATGTGATGTTTTGATATATGTACACATCCAGAAATGATTAAATCAAGCTAACTACCATATCTATCACCTCACATACTTATTTCTTGTGGTTAGAACATTTAAGATCTATTCTCTTAGCAATTTTCAAATATACAATAATTTTCGTATAGGCACCATGCTGTACAATAGATCTCCAGAACTTTAAGATTCTAACTGAGATTTTACCCTCTTTATCCCATATCCCATTCGCCACTCCCTGTAATTCTTTATCATAGTTTCAAACTAGTTAGTTGTCTCTCAACTTCAGCCTATGTAAATCAATCAGTGAAAACATTTTTAAGCACCTGCCCAATATATATTTTTATTTACTTATAGATTGATATGTACTATTACAATAATATATATGAAATCAGAAATTTTAAAAGGGAGAGACTTTAATTTATAAGCTTGTTTATTTATTTTAGAAGCCCTGGTATTTTTTTTCTTCACCCCCTGGGATTGTGATAATCACACTTTGGTGACCTCTGGTCTGAAAGACTGAAAGAAGCAATAGGAAATATCTATTCTGAGCTTTCATCACAGAGTTTAACCACTGACAATCAAATTTTTTTTCCCCTATTACATACAGTTCACTTTTCAACTTCCTGAAGCTCTTGTTAACAAGATAATTCTTAAAAGCTGTCTAAAATTCATTAACTTGTGAACTAGGAGGCCAAAATATAGTTCAGAAGGCAACTAAATTATTTTTTAAAAGGAGGTGGGGGGCAAGATTTGAGCCTGACCAAAGCAAAACTGTGATCATTTTCACATGAGAAAGCTAATGCACAAGATTCAGAGTAAGATGTAGTAAATGTCTTAATTGATTTTGATCATTTTACACAATATATGGTTACATTATTTATTTTAATGACTATTCAAATAAACACATTTCAAGGAGCCCTTAAACAGCCTAAAGACTAAATCTAGCATCTTTTCCTTTAATACAATAAAAAAGTAGAGATAACAAAAAAATTTGTATATTTTACTCTGTTTCTATTAAAGAATTTAAGAAAACAGTTATTAAGCCCTCTTCCCAAATACAAACTAAGCACTAGGTACCGGTCTTTCCAAAAACTTACCGCTAGAAAAGAACGTCAAGATCAAGGCCAAACATCCAACCATTGCTTAAATCTGCTCTACAACAGCACCATCAAGTGGCAGTTTATGAAACCTGCATTTGAACACCTTCAGGAATAGGAATATATCTTAGAAGGCAGTCCACTGCATTGTCTGACACCTCTGTTATTTGAAATAAATAAATTGAACCCCAAATTTTTGTCTAATGATAACTTTATCTACTGGCCCTATTTTATTCTTGAAGGTCATAGAGAATAAACCTAATCACTCTTCCATTTGACAGCCCTTCAAGTATTTTGAAATAACTACTATGAACCTCAATTCTTTCCTTCAAACTAAATATACAAACTTAACTCAGCTATTTCCCATGTACTGATAGTTTTAAATTTTTTCTCTTGACAACTTCCAAGAAGGAACGCAAACATAAGAACTTAATTCTTTAAGTTACAAAGGAGAATAATTTGCAAAACTGCATATATCCCCAGTTGCAAACTTTAAACAATTTAAATACAGACCAAATTTTAATATTGCTGAATGTCTTGAGCAAACTTACCTACGTATAAATAAATCTGTAAGAAGATAATTCATTAACATTAGTAGAGATTTGATATTTTAAAAACATTTTCTACACATTAAATACCTTCGGCAAATAGCAGTTTTCACTTTTTTAACTATAGAACAAATAACCAATTTAGAAAATGTATACAAACCACCAATATTTTAAAAGCACAGCTAAATCTTTTCAATAATACAATCCCTGAACTCCTTCAGGAAATTAACATAAGATATCAAGCTTGCACACATGAGTTTACACAGGTACATGTGCATGCGTACGTGTACCTACATAGATACAGCTGTGCCAAAGAGCAAAACCATAACTAATGTTTCTTATATAACTGCCCTCTTGCTGAAAAATGAATGATTTAAGAAACTTTCTAACAGAAGAGCTTCTATTTTACTACAGCACCAATCAACCAATAGATTATATTTACATTTAAATAATATTTGCAAAGTGAAAGTAGTTCTTTAGGTATTAGTCCATTATCAAAGTGTGGTGGACGTTAGTGTACAATCTGATACTCATCTTCAGCACTGCCAGTTTCATAAGTGATATTTCCTATCGACAAGATGAATGCAACCAATACTAGACAAAGAAATGCCAATTTAAATTTAACTAATTCATAGTTAATGTTTGAGTATTACTCAAGGAATACTTGAGTATTTTAGAAGTTGAAAAAACTGAAAATGTAAAGAACTTGTTAGTATCATATACCAATAATTGGTCAAATAATAAGGTTTATTTTATTCTGAAAGAGCAAAGAGAAAATTCAGTGCTGCTTTATATTATGGTCCACTGAACAAAGGGTTACTTTAGTACTAAATAAGCTTCAATGAATTTTCTTAAATGGTCAAGCCATTAAAATGACAAGGCATTCACAAGAAGCATTCTGATTTTACTGAGCTCACTGAGCAAGAATAGCTAGCTATGCAAGAAAAGTTAGAGATAACAGAGTTTGAAACTTTTGCATAGTATAAATAGACAATATTGGTTCATTTAGAAAAAAGGGAATAATTTTTATTGAACCTAACAATATTTCTATTTCCCGGTGTACCTCAGCTTCTTAGGTAACTCCAAGCAAGTTACTTGCTATCTGGTCTAAATTTCAGCTATACTATTTATCTGGAAATTTGTTCTACATAAACGAATCTTCTGGATAACTTATATCGATCCCATTATGCACCCAAATATTTTATATTTTACTCATTTTTAAAGATATTTTTCTAAAAGACTTTAATTAATTTCCCCGCTTTCTTTAAAGAAAAAAAGGTAGACACTTAATTTAATCACTTCCTACAGATTTAGTCACAACAGGAATTACTTGCTATCTGGTCTAAATTTCAGCTATACTATTTATCTGGAAATTTGTTCTACATAAATGAATCTTCTGGATAACTTATATCGATCCCATTATGCACCCAAATATTTTATATTTTACTCATTTTTAAAGATATTTTTCTAAAAGACTTTAATTATTTCCCCGCTTTCTTTAAAGAAAAAAAGGTAGACACTTAATTTAATCACTTCCTACAGATTTAGTCACAACAGGAGTAGGAATTGTATTGTACAGTGGCAATGCTACACTTGATCTTATGTTTTCTTACCTCTGTTTGTTGCCATCACATCAGAAATATCAAGAGATATTTCTGATACCGAGGTGAGAACCTGAGTATAGTGTATAGGCTCCTGAGCATAAAAGGCCCGGACTTTGTGACATCTGGCTACTCTGATTTTCAAATGATTAAAGTTACCATGAGAAAATCACAGCAAAATAGGCTGTTGACACCAGAAAGGGAGTTCTAAAGAACTCTGGGTGTTGTAACATGGGAGTAGAAAAACATTTTCTCTTAGAAGGCAGTATTGGCTAACTTGTACAATGTGGACTCCATTCCCTTTTCCCTAAAAACTGGAATCAACCCTCCCCTTCTAGCTTCTTCTATCCCTTATACATAACATTCTTCTCTCCCCAGATGATCTAATAGCATACCTTCTATACTATCTGCTCATTTGATACAAAGAGTAGAAAAAAGAGAACAATAGCAGTGTAGTCTAATTGCCCATTATGTATAAAAGGGTTATATGACTATGATTATATTATATGAAAACAAAGTGTGTTTAGCATGTAAACATATGTGACAAATAAATGCCAAGAAAACTATGAATCTGAGTTTATTGCTATGGAGGTGCTCAGAAGTCATCAGAGCACAAAGACAATTTTGTTTGGCCTATTTATGAAGCTAACCTAACAGGACTTCTGAAAAGTACTGGGAATTCTCAAAACCATCAGAAATATTCATAAACCCCACAGTTCATAAATTAGAATTACAAAAAATCTAGATTTTGTTCTCTCTACATATAAATTCAACAATCACAAAATTAATTATCCAACTTTTTTTTACTTTGTTAATTAAACGTTACTAACAGACCACAGTTAAAAAAAAAGTCTACCTAAATAAACTGATGAGTAGCTTCTCTCTACCAAATAAGTTCACATGATAAGTTTTAGAGAAATTATTCTAGGCCATCAAAGATTAGGTTAGATAACTCAACCTTCTTGGTTGCAACCAATTCTTACTGTTCTGCGTTAGTTTTATCAGATAAAAGGAAAAATATGAGGCGTCATTTGAGTAACTAATAAAAACTTATTTTAATTTCACTTTTTCCTACTAGAGATGAGAAAAAACAAAGACACTTTAAAAATAGCCCTATTAATTTACTTGGCTTGAATAAATTAAAATTACCACTTTATTTCTGCTAATGTCAAAAACTTGATTTAAAGAAAGCAATAAATAAGGAAGAAAGTAAACAAGGACAAAATATCTCAGAAAAAAAAAAATCCTACAAAACTTACCATTTTTTCCACATACAACACAAAGCTACCCAGTTAACATATCTCTAATGTCTTGCAGTTGAGGATGATATATAATAGAAATTACTAAATTAAAACTATTTAATAAAAACTTTCTGCTGGCACCTGTAATTAACTATACATGATTATGGTATAACCACTCCAGTAGCTAACGGTATCATGAAATAAAGGATGTATTCTTTACTCTTTTGATCTTAGACCAAATAAATTACTCTGTTCCCCTATCTGTAAAATGGAGCAAGATGGAACACTGAAAATGCATTATTGATAAAAACTTCTAATCTTGAGATAAATGTTATACAAAACTTAAGTGCTTGATTCATACCTTGTTTTAATTCCAAACCTTCAGGTTGCTTGTTTTCTTTCAGGGATGAAATAGAATCTACACAGATGTCTTGCCTAAGGAATGAAAATAAATAAAAACAGTTTTAAAAACTATATTCAATCAAATAAAATTTACTGCCCAGGTTCCTAGAATTGTCAGGCACTTGAGAAGAGACACTGAATTCTTTTAATTCAGGGTACCATTTAGTGCACTCTGGAAAGTCAGAGACACGTATACAAGTGTCAAAAGCTGCAGCTATAAACTTCTACCAATTTAAGCATTATACTTCTTTGTAAAATCAAAGGGCAAACCTGAAAGGAACATTGAGGTAATTTTTTCAACCTTCTGATACTCTGAAGGCTAGCTATGGGACAAATCACAACTCACAGCAGTACCCAATAATTTTGCAAGTTCAACTGTTAAATTTAATGGGCATTTTGGCATTCAAATTACTTTATATTCATCTAATTTCATACCTCAAATGCTTTGATATCTCCAGTATGTGGAAAATACATATTTTATATGTAATATACATATGCAAAGTAAATGGATTAAAAGATCATGCAAAAAAGTTTCAATTCCCTATGATCTGCAATAGAGCAGCAAACTAAACTAATGCTCTTTCTTAAAAAGCATTATACCATCTTAACAATATAATAAATACTTTTCAGCAAAAAAGTCAAGAAATTAATTGTAAACATTTAAATGAGTTAAGTGACAATGTTCTTCAAAATAGGTATCTATTGTCATCTGAGAATTTTTAAACAAACCCTAAGGTTAACATACTATAAAAATATTTAGGAAATTTTCCTACTCACAAAATTATTTCTATCCAGGTAACAGTAATAGATCCCTCATATAACCAAAGGATAAAAAAAGAGCTGTGATAATTTCTTTAAGATGTTTATAATACTCTTTCCAGTCAACATATCTGGCACTTATACATTTGTTTTGCTTTAAAACTTCACTAAAATAAGCATAAACTCAGAGATTACAAAATTATTTGGCTTTGATATTAACTTTAACATCTGAGAGATTTATAATTGAGATGTCTCAGTTTTTTATACTTGTGTCTAATGCTACCTACTTAGATTTTATTCTTTCACCAGAATTACTGGCAAATCCCAAGGAAGATACCAACAATTCTTCTTGGCAATGCGGGGACAGATTAAATGTCAATATATTACATTAAAAGCTTTGCAAGGAATAAAGTTAAAATGTACTACCTCAAGCCTTCCACTCAAATTAGACTTTATCTATTGGAAGTATTAAGCTATTTCTAAGTATATTCTTTGTTTGCTTTTACACATCTTTGGATGGCACTTAATTCTAAGGAATTACTTCAAAAAAATATAATGTAAATCACCAATAAAATGAAGATGGGCATATGTAATATCCTGAGAAAGATACGAGCTCACCTGTAAAATATTCTACCTGAGGATGTATAACATTTATGAGGAATCATCAGACAAACCCAAAATGGAAATGAGTAATGTTATATTAAAGGGAGTTCTATGTCAATGTTATAAAAGACAAAAGACTATGGAGATATACCAAGCTAAAGGAGGCTAAAAAGCCATGACAATTAAGTGTTATCACTGACCTGAGCCTCTTGAACTGTGGGGAAAATGTTATAAGGACATTAGTGAGTCAAAAGACAAATTGAAATATTGATGGTAGATTGGGTAAAAATATTGTATCAATGATAACTTTACTGAAGTGTCTACTGTGTTGTGGTTAAATAATAGGATATCTTTATCCAATGGAAAAACAATGTAGTATTTAGAAGAAAATTATCATGATGTATGTAACTCAGACTCAAATGGTAAAAGAAAAAAAATAATATAATACACATACACACATAAAGAGGTGTGCAAATAGGATAAAATGTTAACAATAGGTAAAACTAGACAAAGGGCATATAAAGGTTTCTTGTACTATTTTTGCTCTTACATTTTAATAAGTCTGAAGTTATTTCCAAAAAAAAATTTAATTAATAATAATGCAATAAAAACTGGCCTCCCTGTGAAATCCCCTTAAATCTCCTTCAAATAAAATTGGACCTTTCTATAAAGACTATCTGCTGTCATAAACAATTTATTTTAGTGCCCAAAGTGAACTTTTATAACATTCTATTTTATCTTAAGTTGGGTTTGATCAGGCTGTTGAAGAAAAGTCACCAAATAGAATTTCAGACAGTGGGTACATTACACCACCTTGTGGCAGAAAAGTAGAAAGCTACGTAGTTTTATATCAGTATTATCTGAAGTTTAAAAAAAAAAAAACTGCCAGAAATAGCTTTCAAGAGTTTGAAATTTTTAAATCTATAACTAGCTAATTTTTCCAAGATGTAGACTTTACAACAAAAATTATCTAAACAGCATAAAAGACAAGATATTTAGAGAAAAGGCAATGCCTTTAATTTTAAGAAAACTACAATATATACGTGTCTTTTTATTTCTAGTTTCGTGAAAATAAAAAACCTCTACTATCAGATGGTAAGTCATCCTAGGTGCCAGAATTAGGAAAACTAAAGCAATTCCAATTTATATTTAAATGGCATTTAAATATTTCTATCAAACACTATGTTTGATATTAATATAATGTTAATATTTCTATCCCACTGTGTAAGAATTTTATAACAACTGGAGAGAGAGGTGAGAGGGAGAGGGAGGAAACACTGCCAAAGCCAGTTTGGGCTAAAAATTTTGCAATGATCTTTGTGTACCTTTCCATTAAAGAAAAAAATGTTTTTTATTTTTCTAATTCCTTTCTCCCATCAGCAATGCTCCTTCTTCAAAGCAGCTTAATTTATAAGCTTGGTCTTGAATTACAAGAGATCCCTATACCTATCTCTGGGATTTAACTTCTTATCCCAATCAGTCCAACTTTCTTTATTTTACCCCAAATACAATTATCCACTCTCGATCCTTTCTTACAACTCAATGATTTTTATTTTTATTTTTTAATCAGAGTAATACCCTGGGGAGATCTATAGGACTTAATCAAGAACAACCACACATGTGAATTACTAAAGCTTAAAGGGGGGGCGGGGATGTCAATTTCTTGTCAAAATGAAAAATACTGGGAAGGTACCTCAATAGAAGAATAAACAGGACTAAGCCAGTCTGATTCCTCTTATTTAATAAAAGTCAGCTGACAAAGAATCAGGTAAACTGGCATAACAAAAAGTATAACCCTGGATTCTCTTCATACTCCTAGAAGTAAAAATAGAGGCCTTACCAGCTTACCTTCCTGTGAGCTTTCTACTATCAAAAATAACAGACAGGCCAAAAAACACATATAGCCAAAACAATTTTGAAAAAGAAGAAAGCTGGAGAATGCACACTACCAGACTTAAAGACTACAAAATTACAATAATCAAGACAATATGGTATTTGAGAAAGGATAAACATACAGATTAATGGAACAGAATAACAGTCCAGAGACAGACCCACAAAAATATGGTCAACTGATTTCAACAAAGAGGCAAAGGCAATTTAATGTAAAACAGTCTTTGAATAAGTGCTAGTCCAATTGGATAACTACATGGATATGATTTTCAATCCATACATTGCACCACATACAGTTCACCCTTGAACAATGCAGAGGGTTACTGGGTGTTTAATTTTTGACTCCCCCAAAACTTAACTATTAATAGCCTACTGCTGACCTAGAAGCCTTAACATAAACAGCTGATTAACACTTATTTCTTATGTTATATGTACTAGTCCATTTCCACTGCTTATAACAAAATACCTGAAACTGGGTGATTTATAAAGAAAAACAAAATGTATTTCTTACAGTTTCTGAGGCTGGGAAGACCAAAGTCCATCTGGTGGTGGCGACAGTGACCCAGGGGTCTCACATTGCAAGATGGTGGAAGCAGAGAGAGCAGAGAAAAAGACAGACTCTCTTCTTTTAAAGCCCTCAGAACTATGCCCCTGACCACCATTTTTAATCCACTCACTACTGCAGAGTCTTACAGTCCAATCACCTCCTTAAGGCTTCACCTTTCACTTACCACAGTAGGATTTCCCACCCTCTAACAGTCACAGTGGGGGCTAAGTTTCTAATACATAAAACTTGGGGGACACAATTCAAGCTTCAATGAGTTTGGGGGGACATAATTCAATCTACTACAGTATTCTATACTGTATTCTCACAATAAAGCTAGAGAAAAAAATGTTAAGAAAATCATGAGAAAATACATTTACAGTACTGTATTTATTTATTCACTGAAAAAAAATCCATGTATAAGTGGACCCATGCAGGTCAAACCCTTGATCAAGGATCAACTGTACAAATATTAACTCAAAATGGATCAGAGACCTAAACATGTAAACCAATAAAATTTCTAGAAGACCCAGGAAAGAAACCTTTGTTATCCTAGATTAAGCAAAGATGTCACCAAAACCATGATCTGTAAATATATTGGTAAACTGGACTTCACCAAAATTAAAAATTTCTGTCTTCCAAAGAGACTGTTAAGAGAATGGAAAGACAAGCCATACACAGACTGGGAAAAAATATTTGTAAGCTACATATCGGATAAAGAACTGTATCCAGACTATAAAAAGAACTCTCAAATTACAAAAATAGAAAAAAACCTAATTTAAAAAATAGGTTAAAAATTAACAATCACTTCACCAAGAAGATATACATAGCAAATAAACACAATAAAAAAATTAAGTCACTTCACCAAGGAAGATATTACGGATGGCAAATAAACACAATAATAGATATTAAGCCTCATTAGTTATTAAAGAAATGCAAATTAAAACCAGTGTGACACCACTACATATACAGCAAACCCTTGAACAATAGGGTTTGAGCTGCTCAGGACCATTTATATGCAAATTTTTCAAATAAATACGTTGGAAATGTTGGGTCTGGTATGTCATGAATACATGAAACAGTTAATTAGCCTACCTAACAGTAGGCTATAGTAGGCCACTAGTACGTAAGTAGTTAAGAATTTTTACTACCTAGTGCAGCCCCACCCCTGGGAGGCTCTGATGAGGCATGGCCAAGACCCAGGGGAAAGCATTCCTCATACTTAAGTAGTTAACTTTTGGGGGAGTCAAAAGAAATATAGAGATTTCTGACTGGGTGGGGTCGGTACCCCTAACCCCCACATTGTTCAAGGGTCAATTGTATACTGACAAATGGAACTCTCGTACTTGTTATCAGCAAATACGACCCAGCAAGCTCACCCCTAGGTTCTTGCCCAAATAAAATGAAGAACTTGTATGTTCACACAAAACCTTGTATGTTAATATTTATAGTGGCTTTATTTGAAATCACCAAAAAAGAAAATCAACTCAAATGTCCCTGTATTAGTTTTCTATTGCTGCTGTAACAAATTACCACAAACTTGGGGGTTTAAACTTATTATATTACAGTCAGAAATCTAGTACAGTTCTCACCAGACTAAAAATCAAAGCGTACACAGACTACATTCCTTACTAGAGGCTCTATGGGAAAATTTATTTACTGCTTTTTGGGGGTTTTTGGAAGAATTCAGTTCCTTGCTATTATAGGACCAAGGTCCCACAGTTCTCACCAGACTAAAAATCAAAGCGTACACAGACTACATTCCTTACTAGAGGCTCTAGGGGAAAATTTATTTACTGCTTTTTGGGGGTTTTTGGAAGAATTCAGTTCCTTGCTATTATAGGACCAAGGTCCTTATTTTCTTGCTGGCTGTAAGCTGAGGACTGTTCCTAGCTTCTAGTCAAGTCCTTCACATGTCACAGCTCTCTGATCCACTTTTCTCTTTTGCTCTTCCATTTTTAAGAACTCATGTGATTAGACTGGCCCAAACTGGATAATCCAGGATAATCTCCCCATTTTAAGGTCCTTAACCTCAATCAAATCTGCAAAATCCCTTCTGTCATGTAAAGTAAGATATTCTCAGGTTCTGGAGATATCTTTGAGGTGCCATTATTCTGCCTACAGAGTACCTTAACTGGGGAATGGATAAACTATAGTATATCCACACAATGGAATACTAAATAAAAAGGAAGAAACTACTGATATATACAAGGTGAATGAATCCCAGATACATTATGCTACATGAAAGAAACCAGACCCAAAAGACTATATACTGTATTATTCCATTCATATGACATTCTGGAAAAAGAAAAAGCATAGGGACAGAAATCAGATCAGTGGTTGTCAGGGGTTGAGGATGGAAGAAAGAATTAACTACAAAGAGTCATGGGAGAAATTTCTGGTACTCTATACTGTGAGTGTGGTGGTAGATACATGACCATCCATTTGTCCAAACTTGCAGAACTGCATAGTAAAAAAACATGACTTTTACTATACGTATATTACACATTTTTTTAAAAATTTTTTAATTGGAGCACCACAAAAGCCTGAGAAAAGATGCAGAACAAAATATATAGAGGAGTCAATTGTAACCTTCAAACATTATGGAATGAAGCAAAACAATCTTGATTTTTCTCAAAGGGACTTTCCAAATGGCAAATAAACCAATTCAATTTTCTACTGTGTCTTTTATCAACCCCCTTCTGCAAAAGATAGCAAAACTTAACCCTACCCTGCTGAAGCAAACCTCACCTCCATTTCGTTCTCCCAAACAATATAATTCAAAAATCACAGTTACCACATCCCAGTTCTTTCTTTGATCCATGATTCTCTAGGGATTCACTCTATAAACTGTCCCACTGCAACTCCAACTTTTTGTGAATAGGCAATTCCCTTAATAGAGAGCTCTGTTCTATTTAAAAGTGACTAATGGGAATCAAAGAGATGAATATCTCCTCTTTGCTCTCTCTCTATATTCCTATGTCTCAGATCTTTTCCAGTTTCAAAAATTAGCATAAGATCACTTTGTAAGGGCATTTAAAGGTGCAAAAATGCAGGTTCTACTACTTTAAATGTGAAATGTCTAAGCATTATAGATCATGATGTTGTCAATGATCAGTAATACTTTCTGTGAAGGTTTTTTGAAAAACTTACCCTGTTATTCTGGATAAATTTAGGCTCTTATGTAGAATATTCTACCTACTATAGCCTAAAAGTAATTTATAAAAGAAACAAGAATATGTGGTGTCCAGATAACCAATGTATTACCATTTATCAACCTAAAAGCACACAGTAAGCTTTTTACAATACATAAATGTCTGAGGGAATTGAGCTTACATAGAATAATGTCAATGTAACAAACTGGTCTCTTTTGTGAGGAAAAAAACTCCATTTATGCATTAAAATGTATATACAACAGTTTTAACTTAAACTATTTTTTGTAATAAATGAAAAAATTAGACACATGAATGAATTCTTTTTTAAAAAAGCAATAGTAAAAAATCATTAAAAATCACAACAAATTATTTCACTGCTTTCTTTAGGTTTTTGTACCATAAAAGGAATGAGAAGAAAAGCCCCAATACTTATCAGTGTAAAGTAGAATTTTAAGAATAGTCATAGTTACAAATTCAGAATAAAAATTCCAAAGCAAATACAATAACATTTTTTTCAATGCTAACATTTGAAAAAACTAATTCTAAGCACTCTTAATCATTTTCTCATTTAATCACCATATCAATCCTTTGAGGTCGGATTCTATTCTCCAGATGAGAAATTGAGGCCCAGGAAGAAGATTAAATAACTTACCAAAGGTCAGACAGTAAACTTCAGTATTCTGTTAAAAAGACAGGCAATTTAACTCTAGAATCTTGACTACTTACGTTTATGTAGATTTTCTTCTACTTGCAGAAATAGTCCTCTAAGTCGTGATACCTAAAAATTATGTGTAGCTATACATACAGAGCTATATATACCTCAGTTAGTTTTCATTCAGAATTTGAACTAAGGACCCAAAGGAAAATACTTCTTTCTTACTAAAAAAGCTTATATGTGCTACAAAATCATCAAAAGAGAATTATTATTTTATAAGTGGAAAATTTCAGTAAAAAGACAGACAGGATCAAAAACAATAAAAGGCCAACAATCCTGAAGAGAGAGCTGAGGGATGAAAAGGTGGAAAAGACCTTTTTCTAACTGTATACCTTTTTGTACTATTTTGTACTGTGGGAATTTTTTTTTAACTTAGGCCCATGTATTTGCCTTTTCACTTTAAAAAAATTAGTTAATGAAAGTACAGGTTAATACGAATTAAAAACAGAAAACAAAGAAGGGAATAAAAGATAAAAGTAGTTGATACAAGATAAATATACAGAACCAATTTACTGAATAATAGCAGTCTAATCAAGAACTATAAAAAATAATATTCTAAGTTTATCCTTGATACTATAAAGAGATATGGCAGAATGAAAATTAAAAGGGGACCTCAGAGTCCTATCTTAAACTAAAATAAATTACAAATGGATGAAAGAATTAAACATTTAAAAAACCTATAAAAAATAAAAGAAAGTATGCACAATATTTTTTTATCATTTCAGGATGGAGAAGGTCTTTTCTAAATATAAAACCCAGAAACCATAAAAGATTGATAAAATTAGACTATGTATACAGGAAATATTTATGCATAAAAAAAGCCACAAGCAAAGTCAAAACAAGCAAGGAACAAAAAAAAAATTGCAATCCATATCACAAACAGTGAATTAAAAAGACTAAAGTCCTCCACCTACACACACACAAAGGGCAAATAAATAACAAAGAATCACAGAAAAGAAAATTCAAATAGCTCTGTGATCAGAAACAGGGTCAATTTCACTCATTATAAGAGAATAAAAATTAAAATTACAGTGAGATATTTCTTTTCATGATAAACAAAGATCAAAATGTTAGATAACACTATATTGACTAAGGTACACGAAAACAGTCCACACGGCTGAGGGGTGGGGGTGGGGGCAAGTTGGTTTAAACTCTGTCATTTATGGTGGTATCTATCAAAATTACAAACGCCCAAAATATCTGATCCAACAATTAACTTCTAGGTATTCACCCTACCATTTAATCACAGAAGACCACGATTACTTACTTACAAAGATATTCCTATCATTTATAGAAACAAAAGAGAGTAAATAGCTTAAAAGTCCATTGATACATTGCTTACTCTGCTGCATCAAACAATGGAATAGTATACAGGCATACAGGTACTGGATAGAACAAAATCTAATAACAAATATAGTAATACGGGAAGAAATAGTACACAGGAAGCGTCAAAGGTATTGGGAAGGACAAAATCTAAGAAAAAAGCATATCATTATGTGGATAAATGTATGAAACAGTTTGCACAGTATGCTATCATTAGTGTAAAAAGAAAATATAAGAATACATACATATATATTTGTAAATGTATCAGATATTTCTGGGAGGATACACAAAAACTGGCTGCCTATAGGAAGAGAGAATAGGGAACGGCAAAAAGAGGGACTTATTCTCACCACATCCTTTTTAAAATTTTGTAGTATGTTTATATATTTGCAATTCAAACAAATAAGCTATTAAGTGACAGTAGATACATGAAGACAAGCACTCACCATGGTACAGGTGTAACATTTGTGAATGAAAGGATACACAAGAAAATCTTAACAGTGTTATCTTTGAAGCAGGGGTCCATAGGCCACCCCCCCACCCCTCACTCCTAACCCAGCAGTGGACTGAAGTTAGGTGGTCTGTGAACTTGCACCATATATTTGTTCCTATGGCTGCTGTAACAAATGACCATAAATGTGGTGGCTTAAAACAACAAAAATTTATTCTCTCCCAACTAGAGACCAGAAGTCCAAAATCAGTATCAAAGTGCCAAAATCAATAAATCAACAGGGTCACACTCCCTCCAGATGCTCTAGGGAAGACTCCATTTCCTTGCCTTTTCCAACACTTACAGCTACATTCCTTTCCTTCCCAGGCTCATGACCCCTTTTCCATCTATATATAAATTCAACAGTGTAACATCTCTCTCTGATTCTGCTTCCCTATGCTTTTATCATACAGTCTTCTCTTCTGTGTCAAATCTCTTTCTGCCTCCCTCATACAAGGATACATGTGATTGCTTGTAAGGCTCACCGAAATAATCCAGGAAAATCTCCCCATCTCAACATCCCACTTAATCACATCTGCAAAGTCCCTTTTGCCATATAAACTAACATTCATGGATTGCAGGGACTAGGATGTGAATATCTTTTGGGGACCTTATTCAGCCTATCCCAGATAGGGAAAAATTACAACCATATTTTCACTAAAATCTAACTGAAATTAAGCATTTTCTATAGGTATTGGAAATATCTGTGATTCTGTCACCCAGAGACAATATAGTTGTTGCAGACATCCAAAATATTTATACTTATTTCTATTTTATTTTTTAATCTTTATTTTTTTTGGTAGCTGGCCGGTATGGACACCCGAATGCATGAACTCACTGTTATCAGGTTGTGCTCTAAGAAACTGAGCTAACCAGCCAGCCCCTTATCTCTATTTTAAAATTACGCTGGACAGCTGCCAAAAAAAAAAAATATATATATATATATATATAATATGGATATATATGGAAGTTACTAAAACTGCTGCTAGACCTTTTTAATACATGAATAAGAAGTATATATAGGGCCAGCCCGGTGGCGCACTGCTACAGTGCGCTGCTTGGGAGCATGGCGGCGCTCCCGTCGAGGGTTCGGATCCCACATACAGACCGGTTCCCGCTCACTGGCTGAGCGAGGTGCGGGCGCAGCACTGAGGGTTGCGATCCTGTTGCCGGTCCCGGTCCGGTACGGGCGCGACACTGAGGGTTGCGATCCGTTGCCGGACACGAAAAAAGACAAAAAGGGGGAAAAAAAAAAAAAAGAAGTATATATATACGACTATATAGCAAAATATTTTAACATTATTAACCATCCCAATACAACTGATTTCCTTTGTGATTCTATTTTAATTCGTCATTTTTTATTTTATCTTTTATTTTGTGAAAGGATCCATCGGCTTCCAAAAAGGGTCGTTGGCACAGAAAAGGTTAGAAGTACTGTTTTGGAGAAAGGACAAGAATAGGAGGAAGAGGAGGTAAGATAAAGAGGTGAAGAAGAAAGGTTTTTATTTTCCACTTTAAATCTTTGTATAATGTTTGAATATATTTTACGTACAATGGGTCTTCAAACAGTTCATGGATTTATATAATCTTTTATTCAATTTTTCCGCAAACTTTTTGAAGTACCTTTATACACACACACACACACACACACACGCACACACATATTTAAATATACAAAAATATACACATCTTTGCTTCACTCACTCTTTCATTTATGGTCAACAAAGATGTTATCTTCAACTTCATTCTCTTCTTTATTGTGCTAGTTTGAATAATAACCCCCAAAATATGCCCACATTCTAATTCCCAGAACCTGTGAACATTAGTTATATGGCAAAAGTAACTTTGTGGGTGTGATTAAGTTAAAAATCATGAGATGGAGAGATTACTTTGCATTTTCCTGGTGAGCCCACTGTGATGACAGCAGTCATTATAAGAGGGACACAAGAGAGTCAGAGAAGGCGGTGTCATACTGGAAGCAGAGACTGGAGTGATCTGCTTTAAGGGGCCACAGGCCAAAGAATATAAGCGGCAACTAGAAGCTAAAAAAGGCAAAGAAATGGAAACTCTCCTT